TTTCTCCATTCATATATAGAGAGAGTGAAAGGGAGGGGGGAGAGACTCAGAGAGAAACATCAAATGTGAGAGAGACACATCGATTGGTTGCCTCCCACACACGCTCCGACCAGGGCGCGGGATGCAGCCTGCAATGGCGGTACGTGCCCTTGACTGGAATTGAGCCTGAGACCCTTCAGTCTGTGGCTGACGCTCTAACGACTGAACAAAACCAGCCAAGGTCAAGGGACCAGCTTCTTGAGGCATTGGACGACCCTCCAGAGAAGTGCCCTGTCTTCTCTTGGGATCTGAACACGACCCCAGGGCCCGCTCAGCTGCCCCCGTGAGCCCGCTCAGCTCTGAACCCCCGGTGGAGAGGGACACACTGAAGAAGAGCTTTGAGAGTTTTTGCGTTCAGGGTCTTGTCGTGATTTAAAACAACAAACCCGGGATCCCATGCCCGGGGCCCTCGCCACCTAATCTCACTGAGTTTCTAGTAAAGATCGCGGGGCAGACCCCTCTTTCCCCAAAGCCTCTGATCATCTCACCAGAATTCTCCGTCTTCATGCCGTCTGGTCAGCCTTTCCCTCACCTCTGGGTCCACGGTGTTCCAGTTCGGGCAGCTGGGAAACCAAGCCCCGGGAGACGCGTTAGAACTAGTATAGGGCGACCAATGACTTCTCCCCAAGGCTCCCCCAAACCGAGGACCAGGGACAGGCTGTCTGGCCTCCGAGGGCCCAGACCCCAGTAAGGGAGGGAGGTGACGCACACGTGGCAGAGACGTGCGTGGAGCAAGGTGATTCATTGAAGGGAGAGGGACAGAGAGAAACATCCATGATGAGATAGAGTCATTGATCGGCTGCCTCCTGCACGCCCCCTACTGGGGATCGAGCCCACAACCCGGGCATGTGCCCTGACCAGGAATCGAACCGTGACCTCCTGGTTCATAGGTTGACGCTCAGCCACTGAGCCACACCGGCCGGGCACTGGCAGCAATTTCAAGGGGTCACTGACAATCTGACGGCTGACCCGTGGGAGCGGCCAGGGAGAAGGTGTTAGAACTGCGGGTGCTGGGTGGTGGCGGAGGAGGGGGAAGGTCACGTGAGGGGCTCACCTGGGACCCAGTCGCAGGTGTAACCCCACCAGGGAGCCCCGGAAATCACCGGAAGGAAAGGCTTCTCTCTGGTCTTAGGCACAAAGTTTACGTCCTTGGACCAGAACAAGCGCTTGGGGGAAGAGAGGGGCATTTCCCCCCTGAAGGTCCAATAGCAGGAGAACCGGAGCGAGGGAGGGGCGAAGCGCGGGAGGATGAAAGGAATGAGCACCAACAGGGGCCCTGGGCCTTATAAAGGCCCCGGTGGCCGGGATGCGCTGGTTAAAAGCGCCTTCGAGGGACCACCTGCCCGTGGACCCCACTCGGCGTGGCCCATGCTGCCGGGGCTCATTCCCCTCCTTTCCCCAGAGCCTCCCAGCAGGACGCACCCGCCCAGCCCCAGCTGCGCTCCTCACTTGTCATTCCACTTCCCGGTCCACTCCACCTCTCCCCAGGGGTTCCGGATGCGGATCAGCTTCTCCAGGCTTC